GAAAATATAACACTTTTGGCATAGCTTATATGTCCCGTTGCCGCAAATAAATTATGCATAAGCCTTATGGCTTTCAGATGTTCTTGCCAGTTCCCAGTTCTCTCTGCTCTGATGAACATTTTGATAATGCTAATGTATTCAAGATATTGCAACCATAGTTTTGCTGCTCTGAATTAACTTGAAAGCTGCATTCTTTAATTTTCAACGAGGTTTGTGAACTTTATGATTATACAGTATTGTTTGTGTCTTCCAAATCCAAATTTCCTTGGACCAGATTTTGATACTTTTTTTCTAGAGAAGAAGTGTCAACTTCACCTTTAGGGATTTATTTAAAAAATAGACTCGTCAAGGCGGATTCAACTAAGAAGTGAGCTTTTAGTGCTCCAGCTACTGCTTTACCACTCATTATATGCATGACAGCTTGCATAAGTAAGTTCGAGTAATATATTCAGCCCTGATCCCTATATGACCATACAAATACTTTCTAGAAAGCTCATCAATGTGTGAAACCCTCCCAATCGAATAGCTATATTCAATTGTTTTAATTTTGCAATTTCGTAAGCTTTTAAATATAAAGACTAATCAAAGGTTACACCTGGAGTAGGAAATTTCATTGACTTTGCTTGGTTCTGTATAAAAATTAGTGTAGAATAAATGCATCTTTTATTAGATGGGTTTTAATTAATAATAGGCGCTATGAATGCCTGACTTTTTCCGAAATGACTTTTACCATTATGATTAAGTTGCATAAATCTGTTCCACTGTGCCCGGTTCTCAATGGTAGTTGAAATAAACGAAGTTTGCCAGAAAAGGTCCACACCGAGAGACAAGGAAAAAGTCTGTGGTGACTGAAGCTCAATGCAACAATGCTCAATGAAGCAACAATGGGCTTGAAAAGTATCTTTGTCAATGCAGCTGTGTCAGGAACGTCGTACCATAAAATCGGAATATTTATTTTAGAGACTATTTATGCTGCTTTTAAACTTTAACTTATTCTTTTAAACTATAAATTATTCTTTTAACTCAACGTAAATTACCTAAAATTTTAGAGTTTATCATCCCAGCAGCGATGATGCCCATTCCATGAAAAGTAATCCATCCAGCACTCTTTAAATATTGTTATCGTTGTTAACCATAACAGAGTGTTTGAAACGTATTATTTCTGATGGACTTATGCAAAAATCCTGGTTTAACTAATTCATTTGTCAACCATTTTAATCCAAACTTGTGGTATAGTTCTATTCCTCATTCAAAAAGCAAAGACAGCACATAAAAATACGATCGAATAGCTTTTGTTATAGTTTGACCGATAGAAGATTGTTTTAATTCATCTGATGTAATTTGTTTTATAAAGAGGCAAAGCAATGGGCCCAAACTTTCTTCATGATGCTCAAAATCGTATTTAAATGGGTGATTCTCTATGTTGAATTTAAGGTTTTGAAATTTCTGCCTTTATCAACTTAACCGCGGTTTTATTGATAACATATTCGTTTGCATCTTTGCTCTCCGTCTTGAATAATTTTTTTCAATGATAATTTAATTATCATTGAAAAAATTATAATTAAATTATTTCTTAACTTAATTATATTTATGTGTGTTGGAATTCTCCGACATAATTGAGTGTATAATAACTTACAATTTTTTCATTTTACAGCTTTCCGCTTGATATTTTAACACTTTTTTTCTGGGTTTGTATAATGCATGCCACATGTACTGTCACCGTTTTCCTTTCCTTCAGTTGTTCTTCAAGGATTTTATTGTTGCGTATATTTGAATTACGAATTAAGGTATTGATACCTTTTTTTCTTACATTAATCACGATGAGGATGAGTTGACAAAGTTTTTAAAGATTCTAATCGAATCGACTAGATTCTTCTTGGCGCCAAATCCTCTGAGAAGCGAAACTGGTTGCATTTGGGTTAGCTTTGTTTGAGTTTCGAAATGGTTTTGCTAAGATGATGACAAGGAAAAAAAAATGTTTTTTTCCTTGTCATCATCTTAGCAAAACAAAGACGAATCAAACTTTGTTTGATTCGCCTTCGTGGAAAGAAAATGCAAAGTTCTGGCGAATCTCTACGTAAATGATGTAAAAGAAGAGAAGTTGATTGAAAAAATCCATCATCTAAATGTTCTGAAGCTATCAAATACTTTGGACAAATAGAATCTCTTCAGTGGCTGAAGGAGAGGGCTCTTTCAGTAAGCTTGCTCTCATTAAATGACTGAAGAACGCCATACCTTATGGTTATTGAAAACGACCTTTCCAAAACTTTATCGTACGAAAATGTCATCTCTAGTTTCGCAAAGAACAAAGCCCGTAAAGAGAATTAGTGTGATCTGACTAGTCTTCATAATTAACGTTTTATTGATGAAGTATATGTAATTTCTTTCATTTTTAATTATATTTGTATTTTCGTTTTATCATATATAACTAAGTTCAAATATAGAATGTTTATGTGAAGTGATACTTAATACAAAAATAATCATTATTTTCATTAAATTGTAATGTAACAGTAGAAATACAGACAATAAACAGTGAAATTCATGCTTAATTCAATATAATCAGGAATCCAAAGTTTGGAGCACCGAACTATTGACCCTGGGCACCACAAAGTCTCTGTGCGTGCCTGACAGTAACGGTAAAACAGCTGTGTTTTTTTCAAGATGAAAAATAGCAAACAGTTATTATTTTTATACTTTTTAGTTCTAACAACTACAAAAGCAGTTGAGGCAATATAATAACATCTAGTTGGTTTTGACCAAATTAATTTAATATGACCAAAGATATTGTTGGATCAACGCTAGATGAAGCTGCTGTGAATAAAAAATACATTCATCACATTAATATCATTGAAAAAAATAGTATTAGTCACGCTTTGCACTTGGGAGTGCGTGATACATTATATAAAAAAAAAGTGTTGTAGATTTTGATGAGCATTACTTGGATATCTTTGAGATTACTGAAGTTAACAACTTTAATGGTAAAATGGGTATGGAAATCATAAGCAATGATGTAGTTTAACTGAAAGACATTAATTATCATCACTTGCATTAATAAAGGTAAAACACTAACTCAGCTGTATTATAAAATTCATCTTGATCTAAAAACTTGATGGAATTCTATACTAACTATCATTGAGCCAATAATCAGACGGAAACAGTAATTTGCAAAAATTTAACTGAGTTCAATGCATCGTACAAAATAGAAGTATTAGACTTTTCTAATCTAAACTACCTTTTTAAGGCCACGGAGCCCACGAAATGGAGCCTGCGAAATCCAAAGACACAAATGTGCTATATATAGCCCATGTAAGGTTGGCAAAATATTGCTTTTGATTTTTTGCATCCTGTTACGGAGGAGTTAATGATTAACTGGTTAGGAAAGCATTGTTTTATGTCCTTATATGCGTAAATTCAATTTTTAAATTTATTTTACACGACATATGAATTGTAAATGGCGACCATCAAGTAAGATTAATACAGATTTTTTATACTCTACATTATAAGTTTAAAATTTTTGAGAAACCAACATGAAATTCCTGATAAATAGCCCTAATAAATACCACATAGAACCCATATGAGAGAACTTTGCTTGACTTTTCTAATGTTTTTGTCTTGACATATTTTTGAGTCTTGACATTTTTAATTACATTTTGTGAATTTAAAACATCTGAATGCATTTTAGCAATTAAAGGTTTTAACAAAAAATTCCAAAATATCTGAAAGAAAAGTAATATAAGCATAACTTAGCTAATTTTTTGATAATAAATTGCAAGAAGCTTCATCAGATATATAAGATAACATTTTAGTTTTGAAGAGCTTTGCAGTTGCTTCAGTTATTTCTGGTTAAAAGTTTAAAATGCAATATCAAAAAGTGAAACATTTTTTCAAAATGTTTGATAAAAACACATGTTAAAATTTTTAATAGGTGGATATAGTCAAAAAACTGTGGTCAAACCTCAGTTTTTCTTAACTTAAATTATTATAGCTTTACTAACTCTTATCTAGAACTTAAAACTTGGTATACAAAAGATGGTTGCAAAAGTAACAACCGCAAAAATCAGGACCAAACTAATATCTTTATTTTCCTTTTTTTTTTAAAAATAAAAAATAAATTTCATTCAGAAAAGAGTTTGTTTTTGAAATAGTAGTTTTTATATACAAATATTTGTGTTAAAAAAACATATCTGGAATTTGATGATCATAAAAAACTCAAAGAAAATTTGTTTTTCTCATGATAGAACAAGAAAACTTCATTTTTGTGATCATCCGGTCTGATAAAAAACACTAGTTATATAAACAAAGACAGTATAAAATCACTCAAAACTTTCAGAAAATAGTAGAGTTTTTAGGTTTGCAAGTTTACTGAAAATCACTTTGACAAAGTTAAATGTAGTCCCTTATCATTTTTTTGTTGTTGTTCATAACAACGTTGAGCACTCAGTATATCTTAATAAAACCGTTATCCGTGCGTTATAAGCTCCCATATTCTCTTTGATTTTATTAAAATGAACGTTGAGAAAATGGGCTTTGTGTGATATTTTTTAAACCCATTTTGGCATAATTTTTTTAATGAGAATTTGTAAGCCTTGTAATTTCCTAGAAAGCTATAAATAACTGCAAAAAATATGTCCTATGATTATCGTGACGTATATATGACGTATGTTACATTATCGTGTTGCTTTTGTTGCATAAATCCCATATCTCAAACTTGTCTAAAAAAAGAAGCCAAGATTAGACTAACTTTTTGAAATGCCCAAATAATGAATTTTACATTCTATTACTTCTCATTTTCGTTAGTCATAATAAAGATGTATTAATATTTAGTAGCAACAAAAACTTTGATTTTATCAGTTAAAACAAGAAACATTTATTATATGAATAAAACTAATTTTCAAAAAAAAAAAAAATAATAACAATAAGGGATGAAAATAGTTACGTGAAAAAAATGTATATTTATAACTATATTTCAAATACAAATATAAAATTTTTGCCAAATGTATATAAAAACTAAATATATAAGGGCTAAGGTAAGTAATAGTTACGTGAAAAAATATAAAGCGTAAATCAAATAAAAATATAAATTTTTGCCATATGTATATAAAAATTAACTATCGACAATTTAGAAAAAAAGCAGAACATATTGAATCTGCTAATTAAACGAGTTGAGTTAAGATACGATAATTTAACAGATCAACTGTTTACAGCAACTTAAAAGATCAACTGTTTAGCTGTTTATTACAACCAGGGTGATTATGTTAAGAAGGTATATGAGTCTAATAAATAAAATATATAAATATATATATATATATACACATATATACATATATATATATATATATATATATACATATATATATATATATATATATATATATATATATATATATATATATATATATATATATATATATATATATATATACATATATATATATATATATATATATATATATATATATATATATATACATATATATATATATACATATATATATACATATATATATATATATATATATATATATATATATATATATATATATATATATGTATATATATATATATATATATATATATATATACATATATATATATATACATATATACATACATATATATATATATATATATATATATATATATATATATATATATATATATATATATATATATATATATATATATATATATATATATATATATGCAGAGGCGATTCTAAGAGTAACTATTTTCATGGGTGAAAATAGTTACTCTTAGACCAGGGTGATTATGTTAAGAAGGTATATGAGTCTAATAAATAAAATATATAAATATATATATATATATATACACATATATACATATATATATATATATATATATATACATATATATATAATATATATATATATATATATATATATATATATATATATATATATATATATATATATATATATATATATATATACATATATATATATATATATATATATATATATATATATATATATATATATATATATATATATATATACATATATATATATATACATATATATATATATATATATATATATATATATATATATATATATATATATATATATATATATATATATATATATATATATATATATATATATATATATATATATATATATAAACACACACACACACACACACACAAACCTAACAGTTGTAAGAGCGCAAATATTTTGTAGAAAAAAAATTCTTTTTATACTTCTTTTTATTACTATATAGATAATAATAACAATAATAATAGTAATAATAACATTTGCAATAATAATAAAAAACGATAATAAACACAAATAATAATTAAAAATAAAGATTATACTGATTTGTTATTATATGTTATTTAATATGTTTCCACATAAAAACATGAAATAATAAATTAATGAAGTTTATTAAAAAATGTTTAACTTACAGCGCATGCATTCCTTTTGCTTCAAAGCCATTCTAGATTGCAATTTTTTAAAAGCTGTTTTTATAGTTGTGTATGTAACCAATCTGGATTGGACAGATTTGTATTTTTGACGTAAACCATCTATTTTTTGAAGGTAAGTGTTGCAATCAATAAGTTTTCTTAAGGATAAGCGAATCTCTTTTAAATGTGAAATTTCCATTTGCAAATTTTCAATCTTGACTTGCATATAGGAATCAATACTTCTTAATGATTTGCATTCAGAAGCTAAAATAAAAAAAATTAAAAAAAAGTTGAAAAACCTTCAACTAAGATTATGAAACTCACCAAGTCTAATTTTTATTAAACAAAGAGTTAACATTAAAATCATTTCTAACATCAAAACTAATATACCAAATATATAATAACCAAGCCACTTTCGAATTTCGTAAATCCACGTTTGATTTTCTTCTTTAAATGGAAGATCAATAGAATCTTCCATGTTTTCCCAACTCTCACATTGCACAGATTTCAAAACCTTTATTTCTTATTAAAAAAATTTTATAATTTTTTTTTACATAAAACAACATTTAAAATAACAAATAAAAATATTTAATATACTTAACATAATTTTAAAAACAAACATACTACAATGATGATAATAGTAAAAGTAAGTCTATGTTTTGCTTCAAAATTAAAAAAATAAACCTTTAATTAAAGGAACATTTATGTGCTTAAAACAAATTATTACTTAACAATAAAAAAGAAAATAATACATAATAACTATAATAGTTACAACTTTTTTATAAAATAAATTATTTAGAACAAGAATACCAAATCTTAAAAAGAACTAACAAATAAAAAAAAAAAAAAAAAAAATTCTGAAGTTATGCAATAAAAGGAATAGGTTATGCAATAAAGAATAAATCTGATTATAAAAATTTTAATCAATCAATAAGACAAGTCTTACTGTTGTCACAATAGTCAGAGTTGCAAAATTCTTCTTTTGTTGTGTTGCCCTGACAGATAACTGGACTGGACATTTTACACAGTCTAGTGAACAATAACTTTCCACGTTTCTTATCAGTTTGACACAACTCACTACAGTGACCAACTTGTTCCCAAGAGCTCCAAACATTGTTTTCTAAAGGGTAAGAGATACATCAGTTATAAACACAAGACACTTAGCATGTTAAATAGAGTGTTACATATAATATAAACCAATATAAATAATTGTTACCATAGCAAATTTTTGCTGAAGGGTTAGTTTCATTTTTTCCACTATAACCCTGTTTACACTGACAATCGAAGCCACCATTAAAATTTATACACTCCGCATTTTCTGTACAACTTGTTGCATTAAGACATTCATTTATATCTACAAAAGAAATATAAAATTTTAATTCACGACACAATATAAAACAAAACATTTCAGAGTAAAAAAGGTTTTTTGTTCAAAACCAAACAATTCGACAGTGAATAACTGACTAACTAATAACTTAAATGAATAATGATAAAAAATAAATGGAAATACCAGAAGTAAAAGAATTTTATTTTTGAGTAAAAATTCAATTAGCATTTTAAAAATTTAATATTTTTTTCAAAAATGTAAACAAAGCATACAAGGTGCAAGATATTGAAAGAAAAAAGTTCTAATTAAAACTGTAAAATGTGTAATTAAAATAAAGTTTCAACACATCACAGCATACGGGCCATAGTGATAAGAGAAATATTGTCTTTTTTTTGCCCCTGTCATGAATTTAATTTTTATATTGAGCAGCCGTGGTGAAAGGGATTAGAGCATGGAACTCGTAGTACAAGGATTACAAAATTGAATCTTGCTCGAAGCATATACGTTATCGGTTAGACTTAAATTGGGGAACCAACTCATTAAATGCTTATGCCATTTGAAGCGGTGGTTTATGATAAGACAATTAAGTCTCATCACACACAAAACCATTAGAGTACTCTTAAATAAAAATAATAAAAAGGTTTACATAGATAAGACAAAACTGTATGCATTTTTAATTTTACAAAAAATTTTGTCAAATATTTAGTACATATTAGTCAGTATTGTTCTAGGAATCAACTAATGGTTTCAATACAGTTGATAGTGAAATGAACTTCTTTTTGTTGTTGCTGTAGACTCTTTGGCACAATTTTCTAATTTTTTTTCTCAGACAATACCTTTTCTTCTTCTTTTTCTTTGAGTCTTTCTTTGAGTCCTTAGCTGTATGAAAATCTCAGTTGTTTTCTTTTGCATTTTTCTCTTTTTTTTTTTGTCTTGGTGATATTTCAGCTTTGCTGAGTATGCTTCTTGAGAAGTTAAAACGAAGTATTTAAGCTGACCTTTCTCTATTAACTTAAAAATTTTGAACTATTTTAAAATTAAAAATTTATTAAAAAGTTTCATTGTTCCTATGAAACTATTGATCACTTTGTGAAATGATTGACTTACCAGGGTAGGAAGAGTTTGCAAATGGAAAATCTGAAACTGTCACAGAATTAAAGTTTAGTGGTTCTAAGATTTCTTTTTCATTCGCTTAGTAAGATTGGTAAAACTATTCACAATAAAGTCTACATTTTTTTCTTCAACTGGATTGACCAAATATGCAAGCTGCATATTTGGTCAATCCAGTTGAACAGTTTCAGCTTCAAAAATAGAAGTGTTGCTTTGTAACGAACTGCGAATTGTGTTATCTTATTCAGTGCAATTTTTTAATTGTTCTAGATAATTAGCAACTTTTAGAATCCATAGAAGCATTAAAGTCTGAAAAATGAATTTCTTGAACAATTAATGATGATTGGAATTCCTAAGAAAATAATAATACTATTGAAACGCAAGTTAGTAAACTTTATGCTTTATTCAGAATATTTATCTATTTGTACATAAAATATTAGTCACAGTTACTAGCTAAAGTTTAAATAATAATTTTTATTGCATAGTAGTACTAGCAAAAACACAATAGTACAATACTACCCGAAGAACAATTGTTTTCAGTAACTTCTATTTCTCTTGCTAATACTTGATTTTGATGTTCAGGTATATTTTTGGACATGTTGTTAAGAACTAAACCTTTCAGTGCATAACAGATCACAAACTCGTTTTTGAAGCATGATCAAAGCTATCTTTATACAGATAGTTGTAGTCAACTGAACAGGATTCATTTCAGTTTTCATCATTTGTAAGCATTGTAGTCACTGAATACAGATAGTTTCATCAATATTCAATATGGATTCTGGTTTAACGTAAAAAACCATTCTTCACTATGATGTCATTCAAAGCACTATATTACTTATTTTATCTTTATATATGCACTGATATCGAACTGAAGCTGTACCCTCAGGTTGTTGCAGAGTAAATTTATGCCCATGTTAGCATTTAACCCTAGTCCACCACTGGTTGTTTGGAAGTCCTTTCTTGAAGTTGAATTTATGTTTTGTGGCAAGTTTCCCAGCATAATTTAGGAACTGCAACTTTTCAAAATCTACCCTTAACTTTGCTCTATTGCTGGCAAAATTGATAAGTTTTTCTTCCAAAGCTAAAGGTAGGGTAGGTTTTCTCCCTGGCTTTGCTCCAATAAAAATTTTTTCAGAGAGTCTGACTCTCAGTGCTGTACATGGCACATTGTATAATATTGCTGCCTTATGCACTGAAAATGATGGTTCTGATCTGACATGCTTAATTTCACTTATCATATTTTCTTCACTCCATTTCAAGAATTTGCCTAATTTCTTAACAGTGACTAATTGATCAACAGAATGATTGGAACCAATGACACAAATTAAAGAAACATCAATTGTTGGAAAATCAGTTGTATTATAACATATTGTAGCCTCTATAACAGAAGCAATCTTTCCAACCAACATCCGGTGAAATATTGGTGACGATCTACATGCGCCACCTCTTGTATTAATCATATTTTTTTTCAAGACAATACCTAGATAATTAAATTTTAGTATGAATGTCATATTAATTTGATAAAGTGCTGAAAATTAACAAGAGCTACAAATAATAACACGTGGTAAAAACCATATGTTAGTATTTGTAACCTAATCCCAACGCTAGAACTTTGTAGTACTAATTTATGCTAGAACTTTGTAGTACTAATTTATGATGAAGTGAATAAGTATTTAAATAACTACAGAAGTCTATTGAAGAAGAAAAACATTTTTAATTAATTACTCAATACTCAACACAGGGCCATAGTACTGTAATTAGCAATTTTTTTTTTTAATTAGTTTTCTTAATAACAATACAAAGAAGAAATATATTGTTTTGGCAATCAAAAATATATTATTGTGGATATCATCAATTTTTCAAAAAGCAATTTTTTTTTTTTAATTTCACCTCCCCAAGGCTGAGAAGGCCACTACAGACGAGGAGGCTACTTAATTGTGGTTATAACTCTCTCTTAACTCTATAACTCCGAAAAACGAACCTTGATGAACAAGGCCGCTGCGCAGAGAAACAAGTTGAGCGCGGTACTACCAGGGACGTGGCAGGGATCGAACTCTCGCTTATGAAGCAAGCGCTCTACCACTACACCACTACCGCATTAACAAGTAAATTTAGGGTCAATTTCATGATAATGCCTAGGATGTTGAATTAAAAGTGATTAATTCATAAAATAATTTACTCAATAATATATAGAATAAAAATACTTATAAAATATACTACTTTGTAAGCATTTAAAAACACTATGTTCTTAATATTTATGTCGTTCAACGTTGTTTCTTTTAAATATCATTGAGCTCAAGTTAATAAAAAAAGATTTATGTCAATGTTGATTATGTGGAGATTTAAATAAAGTTATAACAAGATTTGGTTTCTTATATAACAACTTATTTTCTAGGTAACATTATTTTTGTATTATTTGAAAAAAAAAAACATTGATGAAAAGTCAGTACTGGTTTTCCAAATTACATCAATCCTAAAGTTATTTACAAAAATGATTAACAATAACCCTGCTCTTTAATTAGAACCATTTGTTGATTAATTAACCATAAATTAGAAACAAATTAGAATCATTTGTTAATTAATCAAGTAACTCTGAACTTAGCTATAATTTAATCAATGTACCCTAAAATTATATAAAAAATAATTAAATTTAGCCATTGAGAAACTTAAATTGATCTTTCTCAATATTTCAAAAAAATATTTAAAATAGCTTGATTTTAAGATATATTTAATCACAACAATTAATACAGAAGACTACCTTCACATTCATCTGAGCCATTCTTCATGTAACCTGGCAGACATCTACACTCAAAACTTGAGTTTAAATCAAAACATTGCTGATTAGAAGGACACAATGATGCATTAATTGATAGAGCATGATTACAAATACTTGTGTCTATAGCTATTAAAAAGGTGTGAAAATGATTTAAAACACCATATTTATGTGTTTTTTTTTATTATAATATTTTTTGAGCCATTAATTATTAAATAACACTTTGGTTCTATAATTGGAACATAATTACCAAAAATAAAATAAGACATGATAAAATAATAGTTGTAAAACAAAAAGAAAAAACCTATGCAGTCGCCACCAACATTTTCATATCCATTGCGACACCCACATGTAAATCCTAGATTGCTAACATTATTTTGGCAAACTTGATGAGACTTCAAACAAGTCGATGTTTTATCTTGACATTGATTGATTGCTAATAAACAGAAAGACAAATATTTGAAAAAGTCACTTTAAAATACTAAAATTAAGTCAAATAACTGATTTTTAATTACTTTAAAATTTGTCTAATTAATAGTAACTAATTATCTATCCAACCAACGAAATTTATAAATTATTTATTTGGAAAAATAATAAATCATATAAATAAAACAAATATGCTTTGATATAACACATACTGTGTTATTTTATTTTAACTTTTTTTTCATAAAAATAATTTTTTAACAAACAGTATGTATTTAATAGAATTTTTTGCTTTCTCATTAATATTAAACTTAAAAATTATAAACATTATATTATTATTTGAACATAATTAACATAATTGGTTTAATTTACATTATAGCAACAGTTTTATGTTTATATTATTGTGTTACAAAATTTATATTATATTATTATGTTACAAAATTATACTGTGTTACACCGATGTAATATTAATAAACAGTTTTACAAAATAATTAGCTATATGTGAGACATATAGTGAGGTATTAAAAAAATAAAAATTTAACTATACATTGTTTTTTTAACATATTGTTCAACATAATTTATTTTATGTTCTAATACTTTTGTGTTTTTAGACCATGTAGCAAATACAAAGAGAGATTTAAACTTGTTGCAAGAAGGTTTATAGTGAGTTCAGTGAGTTCAGCCTTATTCAACTTTTTCTGACTCTCAGGTCATACTTTTCAGCCATTGTTCGAAATGCCTTGAAATGCTTATTATGTATTTTGAGAAAAACACAGTTAAAAAAAAAATTATTAGGAGAAACTCTTTGAAAAAGAGTAAACCGTTTTTTTGAAACTAATAATTTTTATGAACATTTTCATAATTTCTCGAAAATATTTATTCAATAACGTTTGCAGGCACCTAAATTTCCTTATTTTGTAAAAAAGTCAAATTTGATTTTTTTACCTTAAGACATTTGAAAAACTGCTGCAGTACAAGTTGCAAAATTTTTTATTTTACTTAAACTTACAAGATTTACATCAACTCACGGGAGAATCTCAAACAAACTATAGATAACTATTGCTATGTTAATTATAGCAGTTTTTATCTTACATAAATTATATGGATTAGATCATAACAGCTTTATCTTACATAAACTATATGGATTAGATCATAACAGTTTTTATCTTACATAAACTATTGATATTAAATATTTTTATAATATTGATTGGGGATATGATTAACTTCTTCATACATTTTTAGTAATAAAAATTATGATCTATTTTTCTTCTTCTTCTTTTAAACACTAACCCAACAGCTACTTTTAGTTACTATGTAGTTTAACATACACTACACTACATACACTAGAAATAGGATTTGATTGCATCTGTGTTGAACTTTTTTTCTAATAGCAAATATCAGGATCTTAAGTTGAATGTTTTAGCATAAGTTTAGCAACTAGCTGATAAGGCTATTGAGAGTAATTAAATTAGCAAGCAGGTTAGCCCTGAAACTAAATTGGTTTGAAAAAAAGAGCAAAAACGATTTGTAATTTTGTATTCATGTGGCTTGTGGATACAAAACCACAATTATCAAACCAGTAATGTTCTGGAAAATTATCTAAAATCAAAATCATGAAATTTATAAATCATTCATAAAGTTCTACACTTCCACGCAGCACAGCTCAGTTATTCAAGATTTATGCAGCACAGTTATTCAAGATTGTTTTATACTTATATTATATTTCAGCATTTTTTATAATTTTCATAAATATGAAATCTTATTGACTATAAAAAATACAAAATAATTTTAAAAGAATGCAAATGATGACTTTTTGAAGATATCTATTATGCTATGCATACCAGTGTAGGAGAACTATAGCAGATAGGAAAAAGTGAAATATATTTACAAAAAAATATAATTTGAAAAAATAAAATTATTTAAACAGCTTTTTTAACTATTATTTAAACAACATATATTATATAACAACATATATTGCTAACAACATATATTATATAACAACATATATTGATAACAACATATATTATATAAAAACATATATTGCTAAAAATATATATTATATAAAAACATATATTGCTAACAACATATATTAAATAAAAACATATATTGCTAACAACATATATTATACAACAACATATTATATATAATATATAATATAAATATAATATATAATATAAATAAATAATATAAATAAATATATAATACAATATATAATATATAATATAATATAATATAAATAAATATATAATATAAATAACATATAATATAAACTATTATGTAAACTTAAACTAATCAATAAAGAAAAATCTATAAAAAAGAATGCAAGAAATAATAATTAAGAACATTTATGGTGTACTGTAACACAAAATATGCAATATTTTGTGTGCAGCTAACACAAACTTTTGAAATTCTTTATAATATTGCTAAATTGATTTATAACAATTAAATAACATAAAAATCAAAGTTATACCTTCGCAGCTAGACATATAATTTATTGAATAACCAGGTTTACATGTGCAACCGAAATATCCTAGACCAATCATAGAGCAGTTTGAACTTGATGGACAATTTATTTGAGAGCACATATTAATAGCTAAATAAATTTTATTATTATTACATATGTAAAAAAAAAAAAAAAAGAATGTATAAACAAACAGCTGTAAAAAACATGAAAAACTCAGCATAAAAAAGTTAATAAAAATAGATTTTATAACCTTCACATTGAAAAGAAGAGTTTAATAAAAATCCAGCAGCACAATA